CTTGTCCTTTTCATTATTATTTTTACATACATACACACACACACACACACACACACACACACATATATATATATATATATATATATAGAGAGAGAGAGAGAGAGAGAGAGAGAGAGAGAGCACTGTGTCCATTAGTGGTACTTCTGTTCACTTCTTTTTAGAGCTGCCCACTTGAGATTAGATAACCTCTCTGGGATCTAGTCCCTGAAAAAACTGATTATCTCTCCCTCACCATCCATTGACTGCCTATAGCTCTTCCTCTTGAAGTAGGACCCAATGATATTTCCCCTGTGTATTAATTTTGTATCCTATTATTTTGCCAAAAGTACTTATTGGTTACAGTTTTCTCGTGGATTCTTTGGGGTGTCTTATGTATAGAATCATATCATTTCCAAATAATAGTTCTTTGACTTCTTATTTTCCTATTTCCTTATTTCTCCATTTGCTCCAGCTAAGACTTCAAGCACTGCATTGAGCAGGAAGAGACAGAGTAGATACCCTTGAGTTGTTTCTGATTTTAGTGGAAGTGCTATGAGTCTAGCATGATGTTGGCTGTGAGCTTTTTGTGTACTGCCTTTATTATGTTGAGATATGTTCCCAGTATCCTTCGACATTCCAGGAATTTTATTATGAATGGGTGTTGGATTTTATCAAAGGCCTTTTCTGCACCTAATGGGATGATCGTGTGGTTTCTGTCCTTGAGTCTGTTTATGTGGTGGATCACATTTGTTGAATAGGTGTGTTGAACCATCTCTGCATCTCTGGGGTGAAGCCAACTTGATCACGGTAGATATTCTTTTTTTTTTTTTTTGAGACCGGGTCTCCCTATAGCCCCAGCTGACCTGGAACTCGCTATGTAGAACAGGCTGGCCTCGAAATCACAGAGATCCGCCTGCCTCTACCTCCCAAGTGCTGGGATTAAAGGCATGCGCCACCATGCCTGGCTCATTCTTTTTGATGTGTTCCTGAATTTAATTTCAAAGTATTACACTGGGAATTTTTGAGTCTATGTTCATCGGAGATATTGACACATAATTTTCTTTCTTTGGTTGGGTCTTTGGTTTTGGTTGTCAGGGAAATGCTGGCCTCATAAAAATAATTTGAAAATGTTCCTTCCTTTACTATTTTATGTAATAATTTGAGGAGTATTTGGTGTTAGTTCTTCTTTGAAGGTCTGGTTGAATGAATTCTGTGCTGAATTCATCTGGCTCTGTTTTTGTTGTTGTTGTTTTAGTTAGGAAACTTTTAATTATTGATCCTATGACAATTGCTATGGTTTTTAAAATTTACTTACTTTTTCTTCATTTAACTTTGTTAGGTAATAGTATATGTAGAAATTCATGCATTTCTTTCAGATTTTCTAGAATTTTCTCTGTTGTGATGTCTCCACTTCATTTCACTTTCTCTCTTGCTTCTGTGTTTTGGGTTCTCTGACATCTCCCTGATATCAGAGGATGCCTTGCTCTTCATAGACAAGAAGAAGAAGTGTGCTTGACAGAGTCTTTATCATTTCCAAGGAAACCCAGCTTCATCTTGCAGGAAGACTCTCATCCTCTTCACTGAGAGAATCTAAACACAACTTCACACGCCTCAGTTGTCTACTGTAAAAGTTCCTGAAATCTCTTTTTGGTGGAAGGTGGATGTGTTTTCACTATTTACCACTAGATGGAAGAGCAGTGATTGGAGAGCCTGGGAACTTCTTGCTGAGAAAGCAGCTTTCGTCAAGCCAAAGGTCTGGATTCTCCAACCAAAACCAATGATGTACTTATCGGTGTTGGTTGGGATTTTGTTCTGTGTGAAGAGGAACAAAAAGTCCATCCATGTTCTCTGTTTAACTAAATCTATCAGAGCACCCCCATAGACAGGTCTTCCACATGGATGGCCTGTTCATGCCCTCAGTTGCTAGGTCAGACAGGACCACATCCATCATCACCCCTGGGGGACTTGAGAGATGGGATAACTCTGCTACAGAAATTTCCATTAGGCCTTGCAGTCTTAGTGTGTATCCCTTGGGCCTGTGGGTGTGACTGGGATTCACAGAAGTCCAAGAGCCTCTCAGGACTGGGCACACTCTCTCCTGGTGGAAAAGAGAACACAACACCCAAATTCAAGAAGTACAGAGTTATGCGCTAGAACCTTCCAGATGGTCATGAAGGCAGGCTTGGAGGACAGGTGACCTCAGTGAGCTTTAATCACTTGTTTTAAGGACCTACACAGCAATGTTAGCCTCCATTTGTTTTATCCACATGATCACAAATAACAGAGCCTGGGGACACTCAGAAAGCACCAGCATGGCTGTCTGTCTATCAGTGACTCCTCCTGACAGAGCTCTTTACTCCTCTGGACAGTGATACTGAAGCCAGAGAAGTCAAAGGGAGTTCTCCATTTCAGGCAGACCTCCCATCTTCATGCTTCATAGAACCGGATCAAATCAAACTCATCACCACACCTGTGAGCTATGCCTCTCTGATGGTATCTGCAGCATTCACTGCCTATACCACCAAGCTCAATTTCTGGTCCTGACCCATTCGTCTTTCTTTGTTTCCATGGACAAGATCACCTCTCACTCAGGCCCCTTGTACTTGCTCTCTGATTCCCCAGGTCCTTTTCTGACTGGCTCCTTCTTCCTGCCCTTAAGGCAGTACAAGTGCTTCCTGATCAGTGAGGTGACAGTGTCCCCCATTTCCATCACTGTATCTAACTTCACCCTACCTCATTGCTTTAAAAAGCATATACATTGGGTGGGGGCAGCAATATACTCCATAAAGGGCCAGATGGTCTTAGAGGTTCCTACTAAACTGCTCTGTATCAACCTTATCTGCGAACTTTTGTTCCAATGACGATATGGAGTACACATAGCCATAGGCAGCTGTCATAAAACCTGCCTGTGATGGTTCTTTCTAATCCTCAGAGGATCTGTTTTAAAACCCACATTGAACCTACAGATATCATATATATAAAAAAATATATGTGATATATATTTTCCCCATACATCTATGGCCATGGTAAAATGTAAGTTATCAGTTATGCTTGTTAAGAGATTCTCAACTAGCAAGTAATTAGTAAGAAAATCGGTCAAGTATACCAATAGAGTGTAATGAAATGCCAGTATGCAATTGCTGTTATGGTGGGACACTGTTGAGTTGTGAAAGGTCACTTTAGCATGCATTGCAGTCCTGTGACTGAAGACCTAATCACCCAGATGGCTTCCACAGGAATACAGGGCAGCTGGTACACAGGACCAATGTGCTCAAAAGGTGAATTAGGGTCCAGGGATAGTTCAGTGGAATACCAGAGGTGTTATCTCATTACAGAGGAGCAAATAAGTTGCACTTTGCTAGCTGAGGCACTATTAGCAACTGATAGCTGCTGGGAGAGGAAGAGTCAACTTTTTGGTCTTTTTGAGATAGGGTCTCCCTGTAGTCCCAGCTGGTCTGGAACACTATGTAGACCAGGCTGGCCTTGAACTCAAGAGTGCTGGGACTAAAGGTGTGTACCACTATGCCCAGCTTTTTAAAAAATTATTTACTTAATAACCACATGATTAGAATAAGCATTTCATTACAGCATTAACATATTCAATAACAATTTCCAGAGCATAGATGCATCTCTTTCAATATTGGCTGTAAATTTTTAGGTTCACAGTTGAATTAATACAGTTATACAATATTGAACTCAGTATAAACCCTATAAGACATAAAATTGAATGAATTCTCAAACTTTTAAAAAAGATCTCGGCTGGGCATGGTGGTACACGCCTTTAATCCCAGCACTTGGGAGGCAGAGGATCTCAGCACTTAGGAGGCCAAGACAGGAGGATTTCAAGTTCAAGGGCAACCTGAGCTATACAGCCAAACCCTGTTTCTAAAAAAAAAAAAAAAAAAAAAAAAAAAAAAAAAAGATCTCCATTTCATTTTAAAATATATTGTTTCAATAAAGGCTAGAAAAACGCATTTTTAATGCTACTAACGCATAGGTGTTTGCACATGTGTCTCTAATCGCTATGTATCTGATTACTAATCAGTCAGTTACTTTCTGAGATCCACCTGATTGTTACTAGTCACAGTCGGTTGCTTTCTGAGATCCACCTGAGCGTGAATATAAAAATCAGGTAGATTTCATGGTAATGTGTTTCACCTCTATTAATTAACATGGAGCAAATGTTTATGCTTGTTCCTCCACTATAGCTCACTTTTTTTATTTTTTTTTGTATTTCATACAAAACATCCCAATCTTATTCATCTTTTTAAAAATATTTTCTTATTTTTATTTTATGTGTATGAGTGTATTGCCTGCATGTGTTTAAGTGCACCTGTGTCATACAATGCCTACAGAGCTTAGAAGAGGGTGTTGGAGCCCCTGGAATTGCACATATAGATGGTAGGCACCATGTGGTGTTGGGAATTGAACCTGGGTCCTCTGCAAGAGCTGTCAGTGCTCTTAAGCACTGAACCATCTCTCCAGCCTGAGTCAACTTTTTTAAAGGGTGTGATGCTCAGTAGCTAACCATGGTCCAGGCAGGGGATGCACCCACACCCCAGGGTATTTGGGGAATACAAATTGGACTCCATAGACTTAAAAAAATGGAGAGCAGGCAGTTGGGGGTAGGGAGGTAGGACCATCTGTGAGATGGGAGAGGAGGTCTGATATGAGCAAACACATTGTACGAAATTCCAGAAATTGTCCTATAGACAGTTTTCTGGACCAGTGGTGATGGTAGATAAAACCTTGGAAAGAAACACTGGAACACTGACTATAACTAGAATCACTTTCTCTTTCCCCTAGAACAGTCACCACATTGAGGTAGGTCTTCAAGCTGCATTACTTGTTTGACGAAAAGTCACTAAAACAGAAACTCCATCATTATTTAAATTTTTTATTATGATTATTATTATTTGTCTTTTTGAGACAAGAGTCTCCAGCTGGCCTGGAACCTCTGCGTAGACCAGGCTGGCCTCGAACTCCCAGAGATCCGCCTGCCTCTGCCTCCCAAGTGCTGGGATTAAAGGCCTGTGCCACCATGCCCAGCTAACAAATTTAATTTTAAAGATGTAATTCTGTACATCTCTTTAAAGATGGATGGAAATTCAAAACTCATTAATACAAAGCTATTTACGACAGTAAAGTAGCAGAAATGCTTAGCCAAGTAACAGGGTCCCGGTAGTCACATCGCACTTGGGCTCTGCAGTGGCTCAGGTGCCACATCCCACACGGCAGAGGCTGGTAGCTGTGAAGGGGAGGACCTCCTCCTCATACGCTGTCTCCAGTCCAGTCCTTCCTTCCTGCTGTCCAGCAGCTCACACGACTGGGTAGACGGCATATGTAGCAATTCCGCAGTGGTTGTTCTTGTCTCTGGCTATCTTGATGTAGCCATCCATGCCCCATCTTTCACCCCAGCTGAAAGAAGAGCACATTTTTCCAGTTAGTAGAAAGAATACAGCATGGTGGCATTACAATAACCCCGTTGAAACTCTAAGCCAGAGGCCACATTCAACAAAAAGGATCAGAAAAGGGAGAGAAGCTCAACTCCTGAACACCAACAGTTACCTTACACAGGACTGTAAAGTCACAGCGGAGACAGGACAGGAGGTCTTCCCACTTAATGTGGTACAGAACTAAGAAATGTGTCAGAATTTACAAATGCAGTAGTACACATTCCTTATTAATACCCCACCCATGAAAGGATCTTAATGCTATAATCATATACTGAAACTTCTGTGCTCAACCTCACTGGAATAAAAATTTCTGGTACTTAAATCCAAACTCCAAATGTAAACAGAAATTCTCTTGAATGTTAGATAGAATTATTTTTCTCAATTATACCTGTTCTTGACCAGCCAGTACTTTTTGCCATTAGATTCTTCTCCATAGCCAACCACCAAAATAGCATGGTCCACCTCTGAGCTGCTACAGTTTGGCTCATAATAGATGCCTGGAAAATAAAATCAAAGGCTCAAATAAATAAAATAAAATAAAGGCTCAAGCAGCCAACAGTGACCACCATCACCAACAAGAAAAGCAAGAGAAGGTCACTGGAGGGATATAAACTCCAGAAGACTCAATACAAGGATTCATTGTCATCACAGCCAGGAATGGAAGCTCTAACCCACATTAAATATGAATAACGTTTAGCATAAATCCTCTGGGGCAAAACACTGGCTCGGATGCCTGTAATCAATCTTGTTCATCTACTTTGAGAAAATCTGTCCAAGAAAACGCTAGGGAACACAAAGTAACTTGAATCAAGTGGCTCCTATAGTAGAAATGAAATATTTAACATTTTAAGAATCCAACAACTGGAGAAAATTCAAATAAATTAGCCAGGTGTGGTGGCACACACCTTTAATCCCAGCACTTGGGAGGCAGAGGCAGGCAGATCTTTGAGTTCAAGGCCAGCCCGGTCTAGTTCTGGGCCAACTGGGGCTACAGGGAGACCCTGTCTCAAAAAAAAAAAAAAAAAAAAAAAAGATGTGCTTACATTCATGGGGCTGTAGTTAAAGAATAGCAAGTAGAAAGAACACAACTATTGTACATGCAAAATGTAAAATCCACAAATCCAAATATTCACATTAAATTTTATGTATGAAAGAAGTAAATCTTATATGTAATACTAGTGGTACAATTTGTCTTTATGGATTTTTGAAGGAAATACGCCTTACCACTCTCATAGAACTGGAAGGAGGTGTGATTGCTGTCAACTGCAGAGGAGATGGGCCCCACAGTTGCCACAGCATTCAAAAGGGCATCCTCTCTTGGTGGGAGCATCACAAAGCTTCTGACAGTAGCAGCAGAATTCTTAGGATTGTACCTGCAGGGTCCCACCTTTGAAAAACAAAGGCAGAAAACTTGATTATTGTGATCCACCCCTCAGGAACATGGGTTAGAACTAGCACACAGCACTTTGCAGCCAAGTGTCTCCAAGTCTGGGCTCTTCAAAAATGTCTCTGCGGGGCACAGTGGCGAGTGCCTTTGATTCCAGCAGAGGCAGGCAGATCTCTGTGCATTCAAGGCCAGCCTGGTCTACATAGTGAGTTCTAGGCCAGCTAGGGCTACAGGGAGACCCTGTCTCAAAAGACCAAAAACAATAAAAAATATCTCTGGAGCCAGGTGTGGTAGCTCAAGCCTTTAGTCCCAGCACTCCTGAGGAAGAAGCAGGCAGATAAATCTGAGAGTTCAAAGCCAGCCTGGTGTACATAGTGAGTTCCATGCCAGCTGGGGCTATAGGGAGACCCTGTCTCAAAAAGACCAAATAAAAAAAGTCTATGGAAGTGAAATGCTGACAGATTTCAGTTTCTGGTGGAAACTGGAAACTGGCTCACATGTCTTCAATGAGTGCCCAGAGGTCTTCCTGTCCATAGTATAGTTCCACAGTGGAGGAATCTGCATTAGGCATGGAATGGTTTGCATATTCCTAGAAGCAGGAACAACCACATAGAAATCATCACGTCAGACAACTGTGCTAATCCTGTCATGATGGCACTGATGGTTTCCAGAGAGATTCTGCCAACTAAAGGTGAGGTCTGAAGACAGTGGAGTCTCTCTGCCTTCTAAACCTGAGCTGGAAAGACAACCACACAGGTGCTGTACTCACGGCTTCTTCATATGGATAGGAATCCTTAGTGTCCAGGCCTCCATTGTCCTTCACGTACTGGAAGGCTTGATGCATCAAGCCGCCATTGCAGCCTTTGTTACCATAAGACGAAGAGCAGTCCACCAGGTTCTGTGCACTCAGTGGAACTAGTTTGCCTGTTTTCCGGAACATTTGTCCTTCTAGGGACCCAGCTGAACTAAAAGCCCAACAAGAGCCACAACTGATACCCTAAATGAGAAAGGAAAAGATGTCATCCACAAAACTTCACACACTGGAATACTTATATCAAATAGTGAACTGCATGCAAGTCAAGACATCTCCCACTAGGTTTCCGTGTAGGCAGGTGAAGGTTCGTGAAGGTGACACTGTCATACCTGATCCTGTACAGCACTGACGTAGCCTTTGGTTCTCCAATCCACAGATTTGGAGACATCACCCACGAGAAGTGATGGCTGAGGTGCCTGGAGCAGTTTCATGTTCTTGAGTCCCTGGCTTTGAAAGCCAGTCATCAGTTTCTTGAATTCTGTACTGGTCTTCAAGGGAAAAGTAAATAAGCCATTGAAAGGTAAGAGACAGGTTATAGAGAAGTGAAGAGAAGAAACTGCCAAGAAATCCGCGTCACACTCACCAAGTCACCAAAGGCGTTCATCTTCATGCGGAAGCTGTATTTCCCCCGGCTGATTTGCTCATTGTGTTGTTCGATCATTTTCATATTCTTCTCCCACACTGCTCTTTTTTGTCCTTCATTCTAGAAAGTAAATATACTTTATGGTCTTTCTACTTCAAGACAATCTATTTCACCGAGTGGGCCTGCTGTCACAGATGAAGAGGAGCCATGACCAGGGATGGCTACACTTCTGGAAGCCATTATCCATATCCAGTGACAAGAGGAATGTTTGCACACAGCGTTTGAAATGCTCTCAGGTTCTGCCTTGGACAGGGCAAGCCTCCAGAACCTAGGCTGAGACCATGAACCACCCAAGCAAGGGCCATTCTCTCTGGGGTCCCTCTGGACAGTCTCCATGTTACCAACCGTTTTGTATGTTTTCCTGTGTTTTGTCTTCCATTCCTGCCATTTAGCATCCAGACTGGGATCAAATGTTGGAGCAGCTGAGATCATTCCCAGGCAAAGTGCAAAGAAAATAGGAGTCATGTTTCAAAAACCTGCCAAGAAAGAAGATATGAGATTCTGATCTCCACCTAATTATTCATTTCTTCATTTATTTTGACCTTTTTGAGACAGGGTTTACCTGTAGCCCCAGCTGGCCTGGAACTCACTATATAGACCAGGCTGACCTTGAACTCACAGAGATCTGCCTGCCTCTGCTGGGATTAAAGGCGTGCATCTTAACTCCTGGCACCTCCACTTAACTAATTAAAGCCAACAAGGTGGAATTAAATTATTTGGACAATTCTTTCAGTTACTCAAAGACTATGGGAAAGACTCATAATCAATGTAATAATCTGGTTAGATTGAAGTAGACATGGATGAATTTGGTCAGTTTACCAAAATTAAAGCTACTGCCCAAGGCTCTAGAAATTAGCACTATATGTGCTGTGAACTTAGCTCAGCATAGGACATGGATGTATGGAGTTATCCCAAGTTTTGTGCAATTGGTACTGAAGTAATTAATCAAAACTTCACTAATGCCTACTGAGTCCAGCACAAAGACATCTGCAAGAGTTGGGGGTCATTGGACACATTTTCTTGGCCAGTATGCACCAAGAAATTGGCTGTCTTGGCTCCTTCCCTTCTGAAACCTTTCTGGAATGCCCTCTATAGACAGTCTGGGAAGGACAACAGGTACTAGTTTGTCTTCCTTATACATGGGAACATGCCTTCAAAATTCCAACTTACTACTTAATGAGGAGGGAGTCATATGGCTAAGATACTAGATGCCAGAGCCACCAGTATAGGTGGGACACAAGGACTCACAGAATTCCTAGCTCAAGTTGTGAGGAGTCTCCCATGCAGCAGTCCAGATATGGCCTGGCCAGAGGCATGCCATGTACTACTCCTGCACAAGCCAGATGACTGGCTCAAAGGCTTTTACATGGCAGTGATGTGGGAGAGCATGGTCCCTGCTGGCACAGGGAGCATTGGGCATGGCAACCAAGTGCCAGGGACAAGTTGACAGTCCATGTAGGCAGGCCTAGACCTGAACCTCTCTAGGACCCTGCATAATCTTGACCACCCAAGAGTTCTAATTTCCTCTTGGGATTCCCCTTCCACCCTCCTCTGTTTCCCCATACCAGGACTGCTGAGGCTGATTTATCATTCTCACTCCTGACGGAACTGCCTGCATTCTAGTCTCTCCAGGGTACTTCTCCATGGTCAGTTCCCATCCTGCCATCCCAGAGTCAGTGGCCTCACCTGGAATGCCCACAGCTGCAACGGTGTACTCCAAAGACAGCTCTTCAGACTTCACTGAGACCCCAGGACCTTCCTCACCACACTTAGACCTAGGCCTTATATCCAAAGACTGTGCCTTCAGGGCTCTGTCGTAACTCACCTGCCCTTCCCTGCAATTTGTTGTGTGAACAGCTGGATCAGAATTCCAGTTACTGAGACTCAGTCCCACCCTGTCCTGGGGGTTTAGGCTGCTGTAGTGGGCTGTGGGGAGGGGAGCAGGGAGTCCCTGACAGAGGAAAGCAGAGAGGGGTGATTCTTGTGGCTTTAGATACTCTCAGGGAGTGCTTGTCAGTTAGCTCAGGAAACACAGCTCTATGTAACCCTCAGTGGATTTTCAGCCTACTTTTCCTCTGGAGCTAGAGATTTTGGTTAAAACCATCTGCAGTGCTGGGCTGTGAGCTGGTTCATTTTAGTTCACTGTTGCCTGGTTTTTGTTTTTGAGACAGGTTGTCACTATGTAGCCCTAGCTGTCCTGGAATTCTCTATGTATACCATCCTAGACTGGCCTAGATCTCACAGTGAACCACTGGACTCTGCTTAGAGTGCTGGGATTAAAGGTGTGTGCTACCAAGCCAGGCCAAAGTTTCCCACAACCAAGGTGGGCTCTGGTGGGAATAGACTGAGGAACTCATTCTCCCACGTTGTTAGGATAGAAGGCAGCTGAGTCTCAAAGAATCTGTAGGGAAAGGTGATCTCTAAACATGGAGGAGATGATTAAGGTCAAATGCTAGGAAGGAAAAGGAATGGACTAGGGTGTGGAATGTCCTGAGACTGGAGGACATCCTGTCCTCTCCCCTCACTCAGGGATCCTCCTCCCTCCTCCCATCTTTTTGTTTGTTTGTTTGAGACAGTCTCTCCATAGACCCAGCTGGCCTGGAGCTCCCTATGTAGACCAGGCTGGCCTTGAACTCACTGAGATCTGCCTGCCTCTGCCTCCTGAGTGCTGGGACTAAGGGTATGTACCACCATGCCCAACTCCTCCCATATCTTAAGCAAAATCAAAGATGTGAGGTATTTGAAAAAAAAAAAAAAGATGGATTTAAAAAAAAAAAGTGACCCATTGCTTTGGAATCTGCTTAAACTCTCAGCTGGATTTTACATCATGTTTTCCTCAATCTCGGTCTTAAGAATTACTTTAAGAAATTTACTTCCACAACATTTAATGTTATGATTTATGTTACAGAGTAAGGATAACATTTTAGACTGAGGAAAATATGTATAAATTCCATATATGAAGATCCTAGATTTTCTAATTGAGGCATTAAGGAACACAAAGCAGAAATGTTCTAAACCTTTCTATTTACATCAAGAACGTAGTACTTGTAAATAAAACACCTTTTTGGGAAAACTTTTGGTCTTTCTTAATAATCTTTTTTGCTCTGAGTTCTTGGATTAAAATGGAATCACATGCCAGGCATGCTGGCAGATGCCTTTAATCCCAATACTTGGGAAGCAGAGGCAGGTGGAGCTCTGTGAGTTCAAGGCCAGCCTGGTCTACATAGTGAGTTGCAGGACAGCTGGGCCTACAGGGAGCCCCTGTCTCAAAAAGACCAAAAAAAAAAAAAAAAAAGGAATTATAATGTATTCTTTCTTATAAATTTAATTCTACTTAAGATTAAATTGGTTGGGCATGGTGGCACATGCCTGTAGTCCCAGCACTTGGGAGGCAGAGGCAGGCGGATCTCTGTGAGGTCAAGGCCAGCCTGGTCTACATAGTGAGTTCCAGGACAGCTGGGGCTACAGGGAGACCCTGTCTCAAAAAGACCAAAAAAAAAAAAAAATTAAATTGATTTAGAGGGATTTGTTTGAGAAGGAAAAATAAAGATAAAATTGATAACATACTTAGCAAAATGTGACATAACTTTTTCATTGTGGTAAGATATGCATAATATAAAAATAACAATGTGAACTAGCTCAGACCTGCAGTTCGACGGCATTAGGGACTTCCACACTATTGCATAACCTGGCTTCAGCCTCCACTTTTAATCCTTTTGGGTATACATTCAGAAGTCAGTTGCTAGGCCTTGTGCAGTGGTGCACACCTTTAATCCCAGCACTCGGGAGGCAGAGGCAGGTGGGATCTCTATGAGTTCCAGGCCAGCCTGGTCTACATAGAGTGTTCCAGGACAGTTGGGGCTACAGGAAGACCCTGTCCCCAAAACACCAAAACAACTCCGGAAGTCAATATGCTGGGCATGTAATTCTGGGGCTACTTTTTCCTCCATTTTCCCACAGAAGATGCATCACTGTACTTTAGCACCAGCTATGCACAACAGTTCTGATTTCAGACTTTCTCTAATAATTGGTATTTCTTCTCTCTTCCCGAAATTGTCTTCTCAATTTGCACTATTTTTCTGAGCTATGAGCATTTACATATCTTATATTGAAGATCGTCTGTTCTACTCCTCGGTCCTTTTCTTACTGAATTCTTTTGTTTTTACTGGGTTTTAGGAGTTTTAATTTTATTCACTAGTTTATTACTTTGTGTGTGTGTGTGTGTGTGTGTGTGTGTGTGTGTTTGTGTGCACACACATGCTCATGGCAAAGGTGTTAAAGTCAGAGAACAATGTGTGGTAATTAATTTTCTCCCTCAACCAAGTGGATCCTGGGGATTGAACTCAGGTTGGCAAGTTTGGCAGCAGGTGACTTTACCCACTGAGTCACCTCACCAGCCTGAGTGTTTATTTTTCATTCTGAATTTTAATTACTTTATAGATCAAATTATGTGGATAGGTTTTTTTTACACTGTTGATAGCATTACTTCATAAAGTTTATAACTTTGATGAAACTCAACATATTTCTTTTATGTTGCATTAAAAAAATCATTCCAAAATCCCATGTCACAAAGAAGTTCCCCTATGTTTTTGAATAGGGGAATAAAAGGCCTCATTTTTCATGGTAGTAAGAACCCCTTTACTGAAAAGCAAGGCATCAAGAAAAGTACTACTCTAGCCCTCCCTTAACAGCAGTCATTCTGTCTCAGAGCTATCCATGCAAAATTTTCCGAACTAGCCTGTCAGATAGAAGACCAGAAGATCTTCATTCCTGGGGGGTCTGCCCCACACCATGGGGGAAGGAATGCTGCCCAGAGAGGCCAGAAGAATCTGAACAGACATGCTTTTGGGGAAATCACATTTCAGCACAGCTGTCCATTCTTCATCAAAACTAAGCGTATAGCCAAGTGTGGTGGCGCACACCTTTAATCCCAGCACTCGGGAGGCAGAGGCAGACAGATCTCTGTGAGTTCAAGGCCAGCCTGGTCTACACGGTGAATTCCAGGACAGCTGGGGCTACAAGGAGAGCCTGTCTCAAAAACAAACCAAAAAACAAACAAACAAACAAAAAAATTAAGCGTATAAACAGTTTTCCTTGGGTATTTGCATATTCATTTCTGAAGGTTCACATAGCATGTAAAACGTTGATTACATAAATGCTTATGTTATGTTTTGCACTTGTTAACCTTTTTTTGTTGCAATCATATCAGCCATGACCCCATCATTGGGTAGGAAGATATGACACCTACACAATGTGCCCCGAGTCTAAAATCATACCAAGAAATACTCAAATTTAGAAGTAGAGAAGGAAACTTAAGGAAGAAGTCGGACGATGTTATTATTACTATAAGCCATTGAAAACCTATTTACATACCAAATCTGTTAAATAATGCTTGGCCAAAATCAAGTCAGACTTTTCTACCTTCTCTTGACTTCAATATGTATTTCCTTGTACCATCTAGTTTCCATCAAGGACCCAGCTGTCATTTTAGCAGGATCTCCATCCATGATTTGATCAAACAACCTATCTGATCAAGATGCTCTGCCTCCACCATGCCCCAGCCCCAGGGAGCATCTGTTCACCCTGGCCTGAGAGCAGCAACAAGCCAATGGTCAGCTTAACCAGAATCCTCCTCATATCTGATGTTCATTCTTAACACTTTCCCTACATTGAATTCTTCTGTGCTCCTTAACTCTGAACTCTGTCTACACACCTGTGTGTGATGAAGCGCTGCATCTCTCTCCCTTACTGCAGGACTTCATCACTGTGGCACCCATAAATAGCTCCATGGTTCTTTTATTTATTTATTTATTTTTGTCTTTTTGAGACAGGTCTCCCTATGGCCCCAGGTGACCTGGAACTCACTATGTAGACCAGCCTGGCCTTGAACTCATCGAGATCTGCCTGCCTCTGCCTCCCGAGTGCTGGGATTAAAGGCATGTACCACCATGCCCGGCTTCTCCATGGTTCTTAATAAATTCTTCCTACCACGATTTAATAAGTAACATGGAATAAGTTTTTCTTAAAGTGTACTTTACCTACCATATCTTTTTCTAGTGTTACACTAAGTGAGCAAGCACCCTCATCAAATGGAGACAGTATTTCCAGGGAACAGGGAAGATGGGTTGTACATCTCTTCTGGCCCTTGGAATCACATTCTGTCTCCTGGTGCCCTCAGGCTCCCATTGCTGTGTTTGTGAAGCAAGAAATGGGGGCTGTGTAGAGGGATGAGACTGAAGGTTCAAAAGCTTGGCTTCTATTTCCAATTTCGGCTGATTTGGCTTCCACAGAAGTTACACATTAGGGGCCACTTAGGACTACTTATCTCCAATGGAAGTGGTTAAGTCAAGTCCCCAATCAATAGCATCAGCATTTTTGGGAATTCTATAGAAAAGCTAATTCCTGACCCCTTTCCTGACCCACTGAATCAGGTCCAGCAGGAAGTTCAGCACTGTCATTGTTCTGGAGCCCTCCAGGTGATTCTGACCCACACCGGAGTCTGAGAACCACTGTCACAGGGTTGCTGTACAAATGACAGGAGTGTGTGAAGTGCTCAGAACTGTGCCCAGAGCCTCAGCCGATCAGCTGTGAGCTCCAGCTGCATCACTACCACCACAGCTGGAACCTTCTATAAATGCTTTCATTCCCAGGAGTGCCAGGGCCTCACAGACAGGGATATCCTTCCCCTGAAACAACCCCAGGTCAGGGGTGCATGTGCCTGACCCTCTCAGAACAAAGATCTTC